AGATCATTTATAGGGATATCATATTCTCGTAGCAGTACGATTCCCTATTTTTTCTCAAAGCGGACTACAAAAACAGCCAGAACCTATATATCACAAATTTTCAAAGAATACGAGGAAGCATCGGGGCAAATGATCAATCTTGAGAAATCATCCATCATATTTGGGAACCGAGTTTACCAAAATACTAGGGATAGCATCATGAGGACACTACAAATTCCCAACACTGGTGGTGGTGGCAAGTACTTGGGTCTACCGGAACAATTTGGTAGAAAGAAAAAAGAAATGTTGCAATATATACAAGAGAGGGTGCAGCAGAAACTCGAAGGATGGCAAACAAGATTTTTTACGGCCGTCGGAAAAGAAACGCTAATAAAAGCAGTGGCGTATGCAATGCCCGTCTACTCTATGAACTACTTTCAGTTGTCGATGGAACTCTGCTCCGAGGTTGATAGTATGATCGCACGATTCTGGTGGGGATCAACAAAAGATAAGCGAAAAATCTCATGGATTGCTTGGAGGAAATTAAAGACACCAAAGAAAATTGGTGGCCTAGGGTTCTGTGATATACATCTATTCAATCAAGCCCTTCTTGCAAACCAAGTGTGGAAAATCTTACAAAAACCACACAGCCTACTCTATCGTATCCTCAAAGGTAGATATTTCCGTGATGGGACTTTCTTCTCCGCAACGCGAGGCACACAACCATCTTACGGTTGGAACTCACTTCGCTTTGGTCGGGACCTCCTAGAAACAAGAATACAAGTCAGCATTGGCAATGGTAGAACAGCAAAACTGGGAATAGACCCGTGGCTCCCAACAACACCACCACGACCACCAAAGTTGATGCCGGCAGCGGATCCGGAGCTCAATGTCAAGGAGCTGATTAATCAACAAACTCACCAGTGGGATGAATGTCAATTAACAAAGCTTATCCTAGCGGAGGATCACCATCTCATTCGAAAGATCTTGTTGCCTTCACCACCACGTCCTGATTCATACATATGGAGCCCAATGAAAAATGGCATCTATACAGTTAAATCGGGGTATTGGACGGCAGTAAATCTGACTATAGATGAAGATACTCCAAAACCACCTTTGACAACCTCGCCGGACATAGCTACAAGTACCTGGAAGCTACACATCACCACAAAACTCAAGCACTTTTTATGGAGGCTAGCCTCAAGAGCAATAGGAGTTGCGGAAAATCTTCGCCGACGGAACATCAATGTTAACCCCTATTGTTCCCGCTGCTGTACGGCAATAGAAACAAGTGACCATGCCTTTTTTTCCTGCCCACATATACTTGTAGTATGGCGAGCTGCTGGAATCCCAACACAACAACTTTGCAATCCCGACATCCCTATAGAAGACAAGCTCAGGTATATCTTTAAAATACATAACGGTGACAACATTGATAGAGTCATTTGTTATCTCCCCTTCTGGTTACTATGGAGGATTTGGAAGAGTCGAAACGATTTGGTTTTCAACCGGAAAAGGACCGAGACACCGGAAATTGTTAGTCAAGCACATCTGGATACAAAAGAATGGTTGGACAACACAATCACTGCAAGTGAAAGCACTTCAAGGAAACAAATAGCAAGGGCACAGAAGAAGAAGTGGAGCTGCCCACGATCTGTCTAGATGAAATGCAATTATGATGCTTCTCATCATGAAGGAGACAGGCCCTCTGGCCTCGGTTGGATAATCCGGAACTCGATTGGCATTTTCCATGACTGCGGGATGGGAAAATTCCAAGGCAGAACAACCGCGGAGGAAGCGGAATGTACGACACTAATTTGGGCTATGCAATCCACTTGGGGACTTGGATACAGGAAAGTCGAGTTTGAAGGTGATAATAGCAATATCACCAACCTTATCAACGGCAGCGGCTCTAACCCACGGCTTCAGCACTACCTGGAAACCATTAAACTCTGGCAACAAATGTTCACTTCTATAAGTTTCTCTTATCAGCCCAGGGAGCAAAACATCTGCGCAGATACTTTAGCAAAACATCTGCGCAGATACTTTAGCAAAAAAAGCAGTGGCATGTACTAATCAATGGTCTCTGTACCACTCTTGTCCTCCTTTCCTCTTAAACTCTGTAAACAGTGACTTGTCACATGAATTTTAATAAAGCTTTTGGAAGGAAAAAAAAAAAAAACGTAAACCTAATTTAATCACGAATGTTTACGTATAGGTATACATGCATATTATATTAAATGTTGACCATGACCAAGTTTATATACATTTACAATTTCTGAATTTTCATTAAAGGCATTTTGATAATAAAAGGCATTGAGTTTGCCAAAATCTCTCCAAACTTGTTTGACTATGACAAATGGTATTAGAATAAAAAGGAGACTTTTTGAAAATTCCTTAATAAGATAAAACTTCAACCCACTTCCAAGAAACTACACATTTTAGAATACGTATATATATACATCAACAATGAAGAAGACTTTGTATAGTCAGCTTGTAGCTGCTCCTGTCGTGGTCGATGACCAAAGCGCGTCCTAATTCGCCAATGGCTACTCCTACATTCACCGTCCATTAGACTGCACGCATAACACTTCCTAGTCAGTCAGTTACTAGATCATCTCCCATTAGACTATGCGCATAGCACTTTTCAGTCCCATGATGTGTTTTTTCACCAAAACCGCAGAATTTTGTTTTGTGTAGCCACCATCCGAACTAATTTTCTCTCAAGAGAAGTTCACCCCGCAAGCAGGGCCGGGCCTGAAATTTAGAGGGTCCCAAACCAAATCTTTTTTGGAGGTTTTTTTATAGATATGTTCTTATAAATGAAAACAATGAAGAGATTTTTATTTGGTGAGTCTTTTTTTGCAAAACAAAAAAAAATTAGGGGGGCAGGGGGGGGGGGGGGCTATTTTTATTACTAACATCAAAACAAATTAGGGGCCCAATGTCCACGTCTTATATGCTTTAGTCCAGGGCCGGCTCTGCCTTGCCCGCAAGGCCGCAATTCGGAAAGCGTTGGTTTTGGTTGTTCCCCAAAGGACGAACTATCATTCCCAGCATCTGAAACCCTTTCCGAAGATAACTTTTTAACCGAACCATACATAGTTTACCTCATTTCAAACAAGTGTCGAATACCATCTTGTATTTGTCCCTCATTTTATTTTAATTTCAACATATAAGAATACGATTGAATTAAGAAAAAAAAAATAAAACTCTTCAAAAAAACATTTCAGAATAAGCCAAGTTTTTTCCAACGGGATTAAAAAATAAAAATTTACATTCTCAAGGACAAGGATGTATCTTCAACCACAAGTAAATAACCAAACCATGCCACTATCCAAACCTCAACCTCTCAGTTTCGCGTCACTTGCTTCGGTTCCACATCGCCTAGAGTACCGATCCAAGCCGGTGGCTTCATCCCAGTCTGCTCATAAACCGTATCAAGAGCCGGAGGCAACATCTTGTAAAGTCCAGCTATATCCTTCATAGCATTCCCACTACCACCACCCTGTTCTCCACCATGGTTCCAAACACTAATCTTGGGCTGCAAGTCTCTAACCGCCATCGCATTAGTCTTAGCGATCTCTTGATAAATACCATTGTTAATCATCAAGAAGTCTCTAAGACAAGAATAGTCATTCTGAACAGCGTCTAAGAGGGTTCTTAGATAAGTCCCTTGAGCACTAGCTAAGGCAACAAGTCCCTCTGCTTCTTTCTGCTTTGAGTAGAATGATGCGTCTGCTTGCGCTTTCTGTGCCTCGGCTTGCTTTTGTTTCTCATATAGAACCGCCTCTGCTTGCTTCTGCTTGTTGTATAGTTCCCAATTTGCTTCTTGAACCTTGGTTTCATACTCAACACTGGCTTTACTAAGGAACTCGGCTTTAAGCTTCTCGGTTCGGGTCAATGCATTCATTTTCTCGACCTGAGTTTGAAGCTCAGCTTCTCTCAAAGCCACTGCTTTGGTTGCTTCAACCTCAGCAACCTGAGCATCCTTGGTCCAAGCAGCTTTTTTCATCGCTAGCTCGGCATTGGCCTTAGCTACATCAGCCTCCTTCTGATTCTCAAACACTTTAACCTCAGTCTTTACTTTTATCTCTTCTTTTGTCCCTTCTCCTTGCCTCTGCATCGATATGATCTTTGATTCCGCATCAATCTTCGCTGCGTTCTGGAGGGTAAGACCAGTCCGTTCCTTGGCACCGATCTCTCCCTTCATCTTGGCCTCAGACACATCGATCCTCGCCTGATTTGCTGCTTCCATTTGGGTTTTCTGACCCAAGTAAGAGAAGTATTCATGTCCAGGCACATCAACAAGCTGCTTCACATTGGCATTGTAGATTACTAAACCAAACTGATTTAGTTCCAATTGTACCTTATCAAACACTTCCTTCTTAAACTCCTTTGTCCCTTCAAATTCACAAAATCAAAAACTCTATTAACCAAAAGTTTCACAAAATGTATCTAAAAAACATTATAAAGTTTACTAATGAAAAGAGAGAACTTCAAATATGATAATTTCAACAAACATAAACCAATAATTCCTCAAGAGTTATTTTACCAATTGATACTGTTTCTATAACTTATAAGTTATAACCACTCAATCTAACATTTAATCAAGGACTTAGCCAAATCGTTCAGAAAACGCGTTTAGTAAACAGAGATTACGGATTCTCAAATTTGAAACTCTCTGTTTATTAAATCGTTCAGAAATGCGATTGGTAACCATTTACTGATGCAGTAAGGGGTGTACATACAGCTAGTCCGCTACTATTGTAACCAATAAGTAATAGCGGACTAGCTGTACAAAACCCTAGTCTTACCGTTCTTTTACCTATTCCGCAATCGCTTACCGTCCTCTCCTACGACTAAGAAACTCTTACCGCTTTAGGTCACCAATCAAACCCGAAAACTATTTCTAGGCTACACAAATTCTAACTTACTTTTCAACATCCTCATTCACATTCACCTATAAACTTAACATCTAAAACCCTGAATTTGGAGTTTACCTTTAAAGATCTCTTCCATAGTCATGGAAGCAGCAAGAACACGAGTCTCTCCTTCAATAACACCTTCAACAAGCTCATGAACATGATTAGATTCTTTATCATGAGGAGAAATCAACCTAGCGTACAGAATCAGCGCTTCATCGTCATCGACACGAGGACCAATCGTAAAAACAGCAGGGAGAACAAAAGGAAGCTTCTCTGCACTCATGGCTTGGACTTTGAAAGTGTAGTTCACCGGAGAAACATCGAAGATGGTGCAAGATTGCCATGGAAACACCCATGACTTCTTCGAAAGCTTTATGTCTTCGATACCAGCACCGGTGATCGCCAAATACTGTGACGCTCTTGCAACTTTGAACATCTTTAGGATTTGATTTGATGATTTGGGACTTTTCTCCCAAATGATTTAGAAGACTTTGTTTTGAGTTCTTAAGAACTGATTATTATATATATAGTTGTCAATATGTAACAAGACTTGGTCTTAAAGAAAAAAAAAAAAAAAAAAAGGCTTCGACGCATTTCCAAGAAACTACATTTTTAATTTTTTGAGGTTTTAAAACTATAAAATAAAAATCTGTATTACCAAATTAGAGAAGCAATCGCTTATTGGCGGCTAGAGACTTGAGTTTTTCTTTTTTATTAAATATGGAGTCCTTTAGTTACTCCTTTTTAATGATTTTTTTCTCTTTTTGGTTTTTGGTTTTTGCTTTAAGTGGCTAATGGGTAAGTTTTGCAATTTCAAATCATATGAGTCGGATTTTCTATTTTGGCAACTTATTTTAATTTGATTTGTTTTGTTATGATCTTCCCTTATTTTCTCCACGCGGTTACTTACTGAATTTATTGTTGTAGATTTTATTTTTCTTGTGCAAATCTCGTCATACCATTTCTTGTGCAAAATCTCGTCATACCATTCAAATCTTCACTTTTCTTATTTTGCCATTATTTTCTAAACAATAATTTTTTTTTCTGTATACAAATATTCATAAGAAAACCTTACCAAAAAAAAAAAAATATTCATAAGAAAAAATTAAAATTATTTTTTCGTAAGAATTAAATTTTTTTTATAAGAACAATTTATTCATGAAACAAAATGCATAATTTAAATAAAATATTTGTTACGTGAAAACATTTAAAATTTTCATGAAATCTCTGTAATTGAAAGATATCAAAGCCCAAACTGTAGATAGATAATTAGGCCCATCTAAAAGCCTCAAAAACTGAAGATAGCACTGAAATTGTTGGACTAATTAGCTAAGTACTACTAATATATTCGGGATAAGCATATGAACCAAAGTGAATTAGTAAAAAATCTGAAGCAATTTAGAAGACCACTGTTTCTCAGTTTAGCCAAGTCTTGTTTGAATCTATACTCTAGATTGGATCAAGTATTTAACTAAACAAAAACTTTCCATAATGCAATCTTTGTTATAATGATTAGTGGCTGATCAGTGAGTCATCGTTATAATAATGAGATAAGTTTAGGCAACAATGCAACATGGACTGCCTTTTTTAAATATTGTGTGAGTTGGTTTGGTTTGATTTGGTTTAGCAAATCTCTTACACTAGTTTTGCTTTTTAACCCAACGGCTAATCATCATTTGCCAGGCTGTTACGCTGTTACCTCTAATCTTTTTGTCTTACTTAGCACTTTTTAATCTTACTTATTTATCACTTATTATCACTGTTCTTAGCGACTAAAGTTTAATATAACTAAATCAAGTCATACTCTACAATTTATACGAGATTTGATTGTAAAATATACCTTACAAGATTCAAAGAATTTCATACGTAAATAGTCAATACAAGAATTTACCTAAACAATATGATGGAAATTGAAATTAAAATTTCAAAAATATGGAAGTTCATTCCAAAACTAGTATAAAATGTTTTGGTAATTCAACGTTTTTAGAATCATGTTTTGGTCAAGATTTTTCTCTTCTACTGTATATATGAAAAAAAAAAAAAAAAAAAAAAAAGTTGCAAACAAAATTTAATTATTATATGAACAACAACAAAAAAATACAAAAACAAAATAAAAATATCAATCAGTTATTATCATCATCATCATCAATCAGTTCTTAAAATAATAATTGTAAACACTTTACACTTTTTTTCAGATATCTTCTAAAGTTTTAATATTTACTCAATATTTATCAATAAATCGTTTCATAATTATCCTTAAAGACAAAAAAGAAAAGAAAGCAACCGTTTCGCTCCCGCCTTCACAGCTGTATTTCATCATTAGCCAGCGAATCCTAATCTCGCTACTCTCACATCACTGTCACACTATTAGCATAACAGTCCAATAACAGACCCCATCACTACAATCACCTAACGGTCGATACGCCACGTGTCATAATCTCATTCACCTATATATATACATGTATCGAGTCTCTTCTATTAATCAAAACTCTCTGTTTTTGTTTTCTTTATCATGGCCACTGATAGAGAGAATCTGCTCGCTGATGATTATGAAGAAACGGCGACGTTTTGTGGATGTGGGTTTTTTCGTAAATTATGTGTAGTCCGGTGGCGGAGAAGAGACGACGAGTCTCGCAGTCGCGGTGGTTGGAGTGGTTGTTTGCAGGAAGAAAGAGGAGGAAAGTGGGGAAGTGAGAAACTTAAGGGGCTAAAAGAGATATCTGAGAAAATTGCGGGGCCAAAGTGGAAAAACTTTATAAGAAGTTTTAGTAGTGGCAGAAAGAAGATGAAGAGAGATGTTGATTTTACTTATGATCTGAAAAACTATAGTCTTAATTTCGATGACGGCGGCTGCGGCGACGGCGAAGATTCTTCACCGGAGAGGTTTGTAGCTCCGGTTGTCATAAAAGTTTAATTTCTTTTTACTTATCTTTTAATTGTATAATTTTTTATTATTGGTTTTTATGTTAATACAAACATATATAAGGAGTTACAATTAATTTCGTATTAAATTAGGTCTAACTTTGATGTTCGATCGTCACTAACTAGATTCGTGATTGGGTAAATTATAGTTTAAAGAGTTATTAGCACAAAACTATAAAATTGCTTCAGATTTTGTACTGATTCACTTTGGTTCAGATGTTTATCCCGAATATATTAGTACTTATCTCAAAATCTTAAATATACGTGTGCTTATCTAACTAAGATACACATATACTATAAAAAAAATTATTGGTGCGTGTAAATTTACAAATGTGAAATGCCCAAATTTCGACGATAGATATTTTGAGGGAAAAAAAGAAAAGAAAAAAAAAGACGATAGATATTCAAAACTCGAACATGCTAGAGCCAAAAGATGTTTGCAAAGTGATCCGGTTTATGAACATGTGTTGTTGAAATGATTTTATATGAATGGCAATATTTGTAGTCCACTTACAAAAATATGGATTAGTCTTAGTATACGTAGCAACTTTACTATAAAATTAAACAATAACTTCATCAGACCATTCTGTGGAGCTTCAAAATCCGCAAGTACTTCAATTCACTTGAACTTGCATAAGTTGTGAGGGAGGACATGGCCGTTGTAGTTAAGTTTTAGTTGTGTGTAAGTTTTAGTCATGGATTAGTATTATTGCTAAAAATGTGCTTGTGGTTTTGTTTCACGGAAACAATAGAAGGTTTTGCGGACAAATGTCATGTTTCATATAAGTACGATCTAGTCCATATGTCATTTGTGAAGAAAAAACAAACATCTAAATTTCGTTTTTGCTTCTCATTGTACCCATGTCGTACCCGTTTCTATAAATTATTTCTTTTGCCCTTTCCCGTCCCCGTTTCATATTCCCGTATCCATCTCGGTGCTACTTAGGCTAGAATATAGCTAGTTTAGAGAAGGATTTTGATGGCTAAGCCAACGAATTTGGAGGCCTCCATATTTACCAGCTAATACGGTTGCGAATGACTTGGTCAATAGTGCAGGTCAGGTGGAGTGGTGGGTGGCCGCTTGGGGTTTCTACCTCATAGTGGATTTATGGGCTTTTCTAGGGTGTAGGTCCAATTTATTCCAAACAAACCGGACCGGTTTTGTGGGCTTGGGGTAGAGTGTTGTACGTTACATATATTGTATTTAAGTTAAGGATGATGATAAGTCGATTGAAAAGGTCTTTTTAATGTGTCATCTTTTAGGATCATGTTCTCATATCTTAGGAAAAATAGGAGGATATTCATCCATTTTTGCTATTTGTTTACTCCAAATACATATTTTTCGACTCAAGAACTTATGAAAAGCATGCTAATAACAAAAACTTATGAAAAACAGATATATGTACGTTTCTGTATATGGTCTGGAAATGTCTAAATTCAGTCGAATCATCCATGAAAATTAACAACTAAATAATTTTATGTAAAAATTAAACTATAACTGCTTGATTTTGATATAAACAGAAACTCCACATCCATAGTTTTAACTTCATGTAACCTAGTGGCATGAAGATAATGCTTTCCTCAAATCTCCCAAGAATACAAGAAGATCGTCACCAATGATATTCGACTGATTAGAGCTGAACCACAAATCATTCAGCAAGCCCATTTCCAAATTTGATGATCACGTTGTTCGTCCTTGCACTTTGACTATCTTTGACAGGCGGCCAAAATAACTAAGGACACTCTAATTATCTTGTTCATATGTGCAGAAACTCCGATAGAAAAATCTCTCGAAAACGTTTTCCTGTAACTTGTAGCTATCAGTCACAAACGTGACAAAACGAAACAACAAGATGAGGATAAAAAATTGACTAGAAAAGAAACACGTTTCAAAATATTAAATAACAAAAGTACGCAGCAAGCTACATTATCTAAGATAGGGTATGTTATATATTTGTCTTCATCTACCATGTATATGTCTTTTCCTTAAATATCACGAGTTGTAATGTGACATCGCAATAAATACTACGAAACAAACAGATAAAATGGAACAAGTACCAGTAATGCGAAACATATAAGGGTTCGAATAGTTACGGCGGTTGGAGCGGAGAAATCCGTTTGTAGATGGACTGCTTTTTATTTACGAGTCATAAATTATAATCTGTAGTGGTACGGGTTAAAGAAAATAGAAGAAATCCGTCGCTGACTAACTACAAACCGTTTTTACGTAGAAATAAACTTGGTCCGCGGCAGATTGTTGTCCACCCCAAAAATAGAATGGACTAAACCACTGACAAATTAGATCGCTTTGTCCGCAACATCCATTTAATGAAAGCGAATCAAATGGTGTAATACAATTAAAACAAAAAAAAAAACAAATGGAAAACTTATGCATAGAAAGTCAGTATTTAAGAAATAAAAAGGCTAGAAAACTTGTGCATCCCAATCTTCTCCTCTCACTAACTTTATTCACAAGATATATTACGATGATGATGATGATGATTATCTGATGGTTCATAACTAAAAACTCATGCAGACAAACAAACAAACAAAAAACATTAAACAAAAGCCTGAATCTTCTTTTTTCATCTTTTTTTTTTTTTTTGGTTTGTGTACTACTTAATAAAATATATGGGCATCACATAACCAAACTACGTACTATGTAATTGCACAAAAAGTTACTTTCTAATACTGTCCCCTCTCTCTCTGTATAACCCAAACTCCTCCATAAATTTCTCAAACTTTAAACCCCTAAACCCTGCATTCGAATCCCATCTTCCACCTCCCAATTCACATCATATGTTCGTTCTTTCTACGCGAACCGCTCTCTTCCGCTATTGTCACCTGCATTGCTTTCATCATCCAAACAAAAGTCTCAGTCTTTAAGTCCAATCGAATAAGTTTTCGGTTATGTAAAGACAATAAACTGATATAGTATATATACCTTTTGCGTTTGTTCTTCAAGACAGTGGAAGAAGATGGATTGCTATGCCAGTTCCTCTTTCTCTGATTGATGAACCAATTGTTTATCTGCTTTAACTGCAAACCTGTCTCTTGCACCAACCTTGCCTTATCTTCCTCCTGCAAAATCAGTAATTTGATATTAATGTTCATAAATATGCTTTGAGAAGTTAGAAAGAGATTTTGGAATGAGTGAAAGAGAGTGAGAACTCACAGTAGGGTAAGGCCACTTAGAATGAGATTGCCACCATGCTTTAAGAACAGAGGTAGTGTCTCCTGGTAATTTCCCAGCTCTTCTCTTCCTTAATATCTCCTCTCTTATGTCTACTATCTTCTCCTTGTAACCCTTTTCACCAAAACAAATCCTCTACATTGTTAGATCATGAACTTCGCTTCGCAAACAATTCAATCCATATACTACTACTTGATCAAGAAGATATTACCTGTTTGAGTTCATGTTTGAGTTCTTGTCTAACTCTTTCCATCAACGACCTCTCACTCTCAGTAGGAACCAAAGGACCAAACCCCAACACATCTAAGCTCCCATCGAACAAATTAGCATCACTCTCTACTTGTTCATCTTCATCGTCAGACATTGTTGCTCCCATCCCTTCACCAGGAGACACACCTATCTCATTCAAAAATGTCAAAAACTTTCAATGAGATAACACTACTAAATTCATAAACACACATAAAAGAGGTCACAAGATTCATTTTCTCACCTGTTAAGCTTTGAAGAGACTGCTCAATCTCCCAACAAGCCATCACAGCTTCCATTGCATGAACACGAACATGTTGTTGCAATTGCTCTTTGAAAGAACACAGTAACAACACATAATGTGTCTGTAACCACAAAAAACATTAATCAAACACACAATAATAAACATTGACAAAGAACAAAATTTGTATCTTCTTCACCATCAACACCATTATTATATCTTTTTCCAAAAAAAAAACACCATTAATATATCATAAGCTATTTTTTGGGGGATTTTAATCTTGTTTATCCCCCAAAAAAAAAAACACAAATCTTGATTTTAAGATTTCAAAATCAAGAAACATATATTTCGTAAATTTAACTCGGTGTGTGTTATTAAAATTTGTGCTAAATAATAAATTATGAAATCGTTAATTATAAATTATAAGAAAAAGAAAAGAAAATATAAAAGCCGAAATCTATGTATTACCATGAACTGGTCAAGCTCTTTGTCGTCACCGACGAGTCCTTGAGCGGCGGCGCCTAAAGCTGAGTATTTAGCGACGACATGTTGCGACTGAGCAAGCTGAGCATCGATTCTCGGAAGCTGATCAACCGGAGTTGCGATTCTCAAACAAGCAACGTGCGCCGACAAAAGCTGCTCGTAAAGAGGATGAGAGAGGATCTCCGCCTTGTGTCTCGCATTTTGCCAGCTCACAACTCCGTCCGCCGCCGCAGCTCCTCCGCCGTCGTTTTTGTTTTCTCCACCGCCGCTTTTCATATCTCCCTGAATCATAGTCTCTGCTCCTCCAGTGACATCATCGATTCCGTCTCCGACAACGGTGGAGGCTGTTGCGTTGTTGTTTCGTTGGAGGAAAGAGGAGGAGCGAGAAAGCCACTGGTTAGCAGCAGCGGCGGCGGAGGAAGGAGAATCGGAGCTGCTTGCGGTGGTGGTGTTAGCGGTAGCTGTGTGGAGGTTAAGAAAATTGTTGTTAACGGAGGAACGAAGAAGCGCCGTGTTGAGCCAATTAGGAGGCGGAGCTTCTTGAAAATGTTGTTGTTGTTGCGGCGGAGGAGGAGGCGGTTGTGGAGGAGGAGGTTGGTGTTGGTCGGTGAAATGATTGAAGGAGAGGTCTTGAGAGAGATGATTGTGATGAAACGCCATCGTTTTGGCTTGACTTTTTTTTTTTTTTTTTGAATTATTTTCCTGTTGATGAGAGGGAAAGATAAAGAAAGAAAGAGAAGAAGGTGAATCTCTGCTGCTTCTGCTTCTATGACGATTGTTTCATATGTTTCAATTATCAAAAAAAAAAAAAAAACACAGAAACTTTTTTTTTTATTAATTGGAAAATAATTGGTTTTTGTGGTGTGTATATGTGTGTATGTATATCTGAGTATATATGTGTGGGTGTGTTCAGACTTGCACAGAGCTGAGAGATGACCATTTATTCC